TAATAATAAAAAATAAAAAAATAATAATTTTTTTCTTTTTTTAAACACCTTGAATTTCACGGGGGGGGGGGCGCAGGGCTCCGTTGGCGGGGAACAGCGGACTTCCAAGACAATGGTAGGGGAAACACTGACTTGTGATACAAACCATAGCAGGATATTGTCTCTGTGTTAAATGTCGCAAAAAATAATATTTGTATTTAATCATTTTCTGAATGATTTCAAATGTATTATGTACTTGTTCATCAACTAATGATTGTTAGTGAGTAACAAAAGTGAAGAAAAAACGCCAAAACATTGCTTATTCCAGCTGCACAATTTTGAGAATGCAGAACATTTTTATAGGTTGTGTCGACTCTCGGTTGGATCAAAGTATTTTTCTGTAATCGTCTCATTTCAAAAACAATATTTGATTAAACGTTAAAAATCTAATATGAGAGACAAAACTAAAACTAGGGCTGGGTGATAAAACAATATTATCCACTTTTAGTAAAAAAAATATTTTAGTCATAAGACCTTTACACCTGTACAATGACTTCTTATAATTCCTCTCCAATGGGAAGGGGCAACAAGTCCGCAACAAACCAATAAAAGTATTTCACATATAACTTGATAAAACTGAAGTCATCTCTTAAATTGAACTAGCTGCTTGCCTGTCACATGTGGTCCCGCGTGGTGCTAACTTAGTCTCTGTTGTTTGCTCTGCAGAGCTCCATAAGACATCTTAATAGCATTCTAGCCTGACACCAACTGTTACATAAGGCCCTACGAGATGCTCTGCTCCACACCCAGCTGTCGACTGTTGACTCACTAAGTGGGAAAGAAAACTAAAGGAAAGATGTGCAGAGGAGGCCGGAGGGAGGAAGGGAGGATATTTGGTAAACACTCGGATGTTTCCTCAGTTTAAAATACCATTTCCAATAACATCCAATCCTGCCCGTGATGCTTTTCACTTATCAGCATGTTCTACCATGCTCATTATTCATCCTGACTTCTCAAAATGCAATTCTTTCTTTTTTTTTCTGTCGTTGTTGCACCCACTAAGCAGTCTAAAAATAGCTGACTTCCACCTGTCTGCCAAAACTGCCGCTTATCTGGAGAACAGTAATCCAAAAGGACACATGCACTCGAAACACAAAAAAATACTTCATTTGTGGTACTCTCAGAGCTGACCTGGAGGTGTCTGGCGATCCATTTAACACACCGCCGAGATAATGAGCGTGCTGACACAGTCGAGCAGCAGCACTGTCATGAAAAACCTGAATCAAAGAGGGCTGTACCTCGGATAAAACTGGGGAGTTTCACTATTCTCCTTGGTAATGAACATGTAAATTATCCAGGAACAATATTTAACGTTTTTGCTGTGTTATCAAATGTACCTATTCCTTTTTTCTTTACTTTTAATTGATGATTAAGTCCTGAGAGGCAAGTGACAATCGTTTAAAGGTCCCATGTCATGCTTTTCTGGTTATTACCCATCCCCTTGTGTGTTATGAAGGTTTTTATGCATGTAAACGGTCTGCAGAGTCACTAACCCTCAAAGTACGCCCTGTAGCGAGTAAAACTAACACGATTAGCGATGCTAATGTGAACACCGACCATATCACGTCCAAAACAGTCGGGCATTGTTTCTGATAGCAACGTTTCTGATAGGGCCGTGGGTCCACATTTCAGATATTACGTCATATCGGACGCAAATCTGGATCAGCTCAGTTGTTTCCCCGTTTTTAGAGATTTGGGTAGGGGAGAACGGGGTAAGTTGAACCACCCCCTGTAACCAGGCAACGCCTTATAGTTGTAATCAAGTGACCAGAAATAATGCAAGCTCCACCCATTTCTCATTGCCTGTGAAAGAGAGATACTCATTGTGGTCTGGTAAGTAAACATTTTTACAAAAAAACGTTTTTTGCTTGTCAAAGTACATTTTCTAGATGTCAGCTATATCGGCTGTCATGTAAAAAAAAAAAAGTATCCAGGTTTAAACACATATATTGTATATGTTGATGTGTTGGCAGTGCATTAAACCATGTGAATCATTAAGCTAAAGATGACTGAATTGTAATGCTAGGCTATTTTTTCTAAAATGGTGGCTATGGGGTAAAGTGAACCATGNAAAGTTGAATTTACCCTGTGTTTGATTGGTAAGATGTATGAAATTGTATCACCATTTGTATGATTACTTTTCCTTTTAACATGTTAAAAAAAATCTATCAATTAAATCGAAAACTAAGCTTGTATTTGGTTTGTTATTTATTGTTTATAGTTACCTTTAAGATGTGTTGTAGGTATGCCCAGGTTTGAACAGGTATGCCCAGGTTTGAACAGTGGTTCAATTTACCCCCTGACCTGGATCAACTTACCCCTAAACTGGGGCAAGTTGAGCCACATGACTTTTTTTTTTTTAAGAAGTAATATTTTCACTGCCCTTGATCAAATATGAAGTATTATCATTGCCATTGATAGGAGACATCCTGAATTATAGGTGTGTGTTTTCATTTTTACTATGTGTCATGTCTCCTTGCTTAGAGGACAGCATAACTAAAAAATGGCTCAACTTACCCCACTCTCCCCTACGGAGGAAAAGAGAGGGTTTTATTTTCTCACGCTGCGTGGCGTGAGATCCCCAACACACCGGGGACACATGTTTATGTATAAAAGACATCAAAAAGTGCATTTTGCATGATAGGTCCCCTTTAATAATAGTTATCCATTTAAAAAAAAAAAAAAAAAAAGTAATTTAGAAAAAGAAATAATAAAAAGAACAAAATAATGAAGATAATTAAAAACGTAGCACTAAAGAATTATTGACTTGTATATTAAAAATGTATTAACAATGCATATAATAATATTCCTATTAGACTAGAGTTTAATGTAAATCGAAGGCATTTAAAAATATAATGTCCTCATAATGTACATTTTTACAAATAAAAATAAACTTAAAATGTGTGTATCTGCAGCACATCAGTGGAGAAAAGAAAGGGGTCTAAGCACGAGAAGGACAGTGTGTGGGCAGCGGTGGGAAATGGCCTGCGAGCCACTTAAAAAGCCATTTGTTCCTCAGCATCTCAGGGAACAGCAGCCTCGTTGGAATGCACCATTGACGCCCATTTTTTTCCCCACTTGAACTTTCCTCACCAGCTTATTGCTTGATAAACTCCCACCTGATGTCTGATGCTGAAACACTCCCAACCATCATCCTCCGCTTTCCCATCAGCGCTGCGGGGAATCAGAGTGGAACCCGCCTCAGGGGGGGATTGGATGTTACAGCGGATACCGGGGTGGATTATTAATGTTACAGCGCTTTGACTTCACTGGAATCGTGCTTTTTCTTTTCATCCGCTTACGTTCAATTGATTATATACAATTATAAGCAAACTTGGTCTGTAATATCGGCTATCAAAGATATAGGGATATATACTGCCGTCTCATCGCAAAATGGCTAACGACGAAATGATTGAAATAGTTAATTTGATTCCAACTAAATATTTCCACTTCTAACCATGTCAGGCACTCATTTGCCCCTTACGTTATAAAATCAGTAATATTAAATCATGTAATGTAGGATTAACAATACGTAAAGTTTTTGCTGCGTTATCAAAGTTAACTATTCCTTTTTATTGATGATCAAGTCCTGAGAGGCAAGTGACAATTGTTTAGGATTTATCCATTTTTCTAAGTCTAATCTAAATTATTTTCTCTCCTGTATCTGTAAATCCCACTTAGGCCTTCTAGAAAAAAAACATTCAAATGTGTCATAGAAAATGGTTCCTTAAATGAACAAAGTGCGGAGCCATTAATCAAACCTTTAAAGGCGGGTTAGGTAAGTTTGAGAAACCGGCTCGAGATACACTTTTAGTTATATTCCATGGAATGCTCTTAACATCCCGATAGCAATGAAAAAATTAAATTCTTTGACAATAAATACATAAAAATATCTCATCTGTGGAAGCTGAGGCGCTGTAAAAAGCACGACCAATCATCTGAGCCGGCCCGGCTAAAATAACTGGATGGCCTACCTGCCTGTCAGCCTTCCATCTGTGCACACAAACTTATCTCGTGCCCTCATTGGTCATGTGCGCGTTCATGTGTGTTGGAGGAGGGGCTCTGTAAGGAAGTCTGAAGGAAGAGGCAGATTTGTTCTGGTTGTGTATTTTCAAATTCTAGCGCACTCAAGCTGGTTTCTCCATTCTTACCTCCCCCACCTTTAAGTAAGTAAAGCCTTATGATAAGGAGTAATATGTTGGTTGTAGAGGTTGAGAAGTCCAT